CGAAGAGTAAGTCCTTTTTATTTGGCCTGATTTACCATGGCTTTCTCATACTTATTCTTGGTTTGGGAGCTAGACAGCGCCCCATTATCTAGCTATGAAAGCAGGGATGTCACTAAAGGTGGCCTCTTATTACTGCTTAAAGGCCTATTAGAAATCTCATTTTGCTTTTTGGAGATGTCGTTGTGATGCAAAGCAGTTCAGGGTTTCATTACTGGTGAAAGCCCTTTGTTTGGGCTCACCCGTTGTGTTCTGAGATTTGCAGTTCTGTTTTCCTGCTGCTATTCCGAAACAGGAATACTGTTACTTTGAGGATTTCATGACATCAGTTGTGAAAAACATACTTAAAGCAGGAAAATTGCTGCTGAACAGAAAGGCACTATCAAATCTCCCCTCCAATACAAGTGACAAATTCTACTCTGTTTAGCCTTCCTGACATAGGATTTCCCTGTGGAGGTTCAGATAAATGAATATCTGCCAAGTTATTACTGTAAAGTTCAACAAAGAGGGCGTTTTCTATGATTCTCCACCCTCCCTGCCCCCATTTCTTTTTCTTTGAAGCAAGTGATTGTGTTTTCTTCTCCTTAACACTCAGCAGCTGCTAGACCCTGACTTCTATGCTACTGACCTTGTGAGCTGGCCCTGTCTTCTCTCTGGGCCACTGTTTCCTGGGCAGTTTGCATTCTCAGCTGGAAACGCTCAATGACCTTGAACACAGAGTCCCTTTACCCCTCTATGCCTCAGTTGTTTCAACTCTAAACAAAGGATAACAACTCATTCTTCATGTTGTGTGGATTTAACAAAATCACGTGTAGAAAGTGCTTAACACACAGCTGGGCACAGAGGCAACTACTCATTCCACAAGTATTTGTTGAGTGTGCCTACTATGTGCCAGACATTGTCCTACGTGCCGGGGACACCAAGAGGAGCAAACACAGGACCCATGTGTACCCTTGTGGAGCTTTTAGACCAATAGAAGATTCAAGCATTGATTAGGTAATTACAAGAACTTCTATCTCCAAATTGGGCCAAGGACCAGGAAGGAAAATTATAGGAAGCTTCCTTGGGCCCTGATGTAATCAAAGGACATTTTTCAATTACTTTTTTTTCTTTTTGAGATGGAGTCTTGCTCTGTTGCCCAGGCTGGAGTGTAGTGGCACGATCTTGGCTCACTGCAACCTCTGCCTCCCAGGTTCAAACGATTGTCTTGCCTCACCTTCCCGAGTAGCTGGGATTAAAGGCACACACCACCACAGCTGGCTAAGTTTTGTACTTTTAGTGGAGATGGGGTTTTACCATGTTGGCCGGACTGGTCTCGAACTCCTGACCTCAGGTGATCCACCGTCCTCGGCCTTCCAAAGTGCTGGGATTACAGGCCCATGAGCCACAGCGCCCTGCCTCAATAACATTTGAATGGAGATCAGAAGCAGGAATAAGAGGGAACCAAGAAAAAGAGGTGTCAGGCCTCGCACCAGCCCCAAGGTGCATTTGAGCAAATTAGGAAAAGGTATCCTCACCTTAGGGCAGATGTGGCCACACACCCAGGAGCAGAGCGTGTGCTGGGTTTTAGCACCCTCTGGCCGATCAGCTGGCTGCCCTTGAGCAGAGAACAGCGAGGACCTCTGTACAGGGTGCCTCTGGCTAGGAGTAGGGGGATACTGGAGGCAGAGGAAAGCACCTTAGCAAAGGCCCTGAGGTGGGAGAAGCACCGCACATTTGAGGAGCTGCCAAGTGCCAATGAGGCAGGAGAACAGGGTCTGGAGGCAGGGAACCTAAGGCTGTCTCACATCCTAGGACTAAATTGAAAGGAAAACCCTAACTTTCCATGCCTAAGTAACAAAAGGACCAGAAGCTCCTCCCTTTTAAACTCCCAAAATTTTCTGCACAGCAGATGGGAAATTGGCTGTCCGCAACCAGACTGATTGCGGCCGAGTCTTTGTTTGCATAGAAGTATAATTTTGTTACTTCGCTTCAGCCTCTGGTTGGCCGCTTTTTACAACCAATCAGACTGATTGCTGGTTACCACTTACTTCATTTACATGAGGTGAGCATGAAGTGGCCAATGGGAAACTTCTAGGGGGTATTTGGACCCAAGAAATTATGTATCCGGGCCCTTGAGCCGCTGTTTGGGCCCGCTCCCACACTGCGGAGTGTACTTTTGTACTTTCGTACTTTTGTTTTCAATAAATCCCTGCTTTCGTTCTTTTGTTGCTTCATTCTTTCTTTGCTTTCTTGGGCATTTTGTACAATTCTTTGTTCAAAATGCCAAGGACCTGGACAACTTGCAGTCACGACCCTCTACCAGTGACGCCCGCAGGGCTGGAGCATGAGGAGCAAGGCTGCTGGGAGGGGATCCAGAAAGTTCTCAGTAAATATCAGCCAGTGAGAATGCATTAGAGCATCATTCCCATGAATTCACTGCCAACACACCAAGGTCTCCTTATAAACACCAAGGTCTCTCTAGAAGCTGTTGAATTTTAACTAGTGAAGGGAAATTACTTCAGGGATGTGATTTGTTGGTGTCACAGAACTGAGATATAGAGAATCAGGACACTGGATGAGGAGAGACATTTAATGTGGAAAACAGGGAGCCTGGGCTGGGCTGATGGCTGATGCCTGTAATCCCAGTGCTTTGGGAGGCCAAGGTGGGAGGATTGCTTGAGGCCAAAAGTTGGAGACCACATAGCGAGACCCTGTCTCTACAATTTTAAGAAAATTTACTTAAAAAATGTAAAAGAGACTGCGCATGATGGCTCATGCCTGTAATCCCAGCCCTTTGGGAGGCAGAGGTGGACGTATCACCTGAGGTCAGGAGTTCAAGACCAACCTGGCCAACACAGTGAAACCCCATCTCTACCCAAAAATACAAAAATCAGCCGGGTATTGTGGCGAGCTCCTGTAGTCCCACTACTCAGGATACTGAGGCAGGAGGATTGCTTGAACCTGGGAGGCAGAGGTTGCAGTGAGCCAAGATCATGCCACTGTACTCTAGCCTGGGGGACAGAGTAAGACTTCATCAGAAAGAAAGAGAGAGAGAGAGAGGAAGGAAGGGAGAAAAGAAGAAAGAAAGAGAGAGAAAGAAAGAGGAAGGAAGGGAGGCAGGGAGGGAGGGAGGGTGGGAGGGAGGAAGAAATGGAAGAATCACCTTTACTTGGTCTCTTAAAAAGGACCTGTCCAGCCAGAAAACCAGAGCCGGGCAACAGCTCTGCACTCACTAGAAATAGTGCTGATAACTTCTATGTTCTTTGTGGCTTTGATTTCTTTGGTTCTGGAATAATTCAAAAGAGCATTCATTCACTCAAACAAATATACTACATCAAGCTTTTCTTTTTCTTTTTTTAAGTCAGAGTTTTTGGAGGGAAATAAAACCCTTGGGTCCTGGAGAATCATGCACTGTTGCCAGTTACCTTTGCAGTCTGTGGCAGGCCAGGCATCTGCATTTGTTTACCCAGTTGAGGCCTGATGTGTCAGCACTCCATGGTGAGGGATGCTTGGGCTTTGAGATTGTAGAGGTCTGGGCGCAGATCCTGACTAGGCACCTACAAGCTGTGTGACCTTGGGTAGGTTAGTCAACCTGGCTGTGCCATGAGTTACTGTAAGCTCTATCTGTTATTTGGGATAGTTTTGAGGCCAGGGCACTTGGGAGTCCCTTACTTGCAAAGTCATTTCTGGGGTGCTATACTGGAAGCAGCCTCCATGTGATCCACGTCCTTTGAGGGTTTCTTTCTTTTATATCTGAACTGTCTTGGCCTTTGCTTTTCAGAGGCAGCTATGCTTTGCTTTGGGGGAAACATAAAGAACCTGAATTAAGACAGATTTGTAAGTCCTTGTCATCTGTTAGTGCCTCTGTTAAACTTTTAGGGGGAAAAATGAGTAGTCTTAATTTTTTAATGTGGTATCTTTGATTTTTTTTTAAAATCCTATAATATGAAAAATCCCACAAGAGCAGACACTATCAACTGATCCAGCACTTGAGATATTTTATTTCTTATTAAGATGAAGCAGTGAAACCAACCCAGTCGTCCCATAGTTTGTTGTTGTTGTTGTTGTTGTTTTCAGATAAACATAGAAATTGACCCCTCCGGTCTTAAAGCTTAAAACTTAATTTATCTGAGTTCCTTCCTCAGGGAAGGACCCCCAGGCCTCTCAAAAAAAAAAGGCAGTATCAAAGAACTGAAACTCATCAGATCACCACATCTAGACAATGAGTTGCCAGAGCCCTCATTCATCATGATTGCTTCCTAGCTCCTCTCTAGTTCTTGTTTTCTTACACATTGTCACATTTCTTCCCTGCTGTATAAACCCCTAGTTTTTGTCCATTTGGGAGGTGGATTTAGGATTGATCCCATCTCCTCCTGACTGTAGCACTCGATTAAGATTAGAGTCTTCTTCCCTGGTAATACTCATCAGCTCAGTGATTGGCATTCTGTGTGGTGAGCAGCAAGACCTACACCAAACCCCTGATGTTTCTGTTGTTACAGAACTTAAAAATGTGCTTGAATTTAAACCACATTAACCTGGAATGCACACTAATCAGAGATAAATTCCAGTGTTCCTTTCAGGAAAGAGATGAACTGTAGTCCTTAATTTCAATGGCAAGTTGGAGAAAGAGTTCTTTATTATGTCTCAGTCATACTGCAGTACATAAAAGCAGCTGCTCCTCTGTCTCTTGCATTGTTTCCAAATAGTCTCATGTCAGTAACATGTATGTTGCACCTTCAGGACTAAAATGCACGTATAGCAGCCTAAGTCCTTCAAAAGAAGAATAGGCTAACAGTGATTTAAGATTACACCGTTTTGTTTTTTTTTTAAATCCTTCCCAGATTTTAAAATAATAAACGCTAACTCAAGCATACACTTTTCTATCTAAAATGACACTGTTGCCTGCTAAGAAAGGGGATGGATGAAGCACTTAATCAGAGAGGTCATTATGTTGTCAAAGGCAACGCCAAGGCTGAAGGACTGGATTCTCATGGGTATATGACCATTTTATTGCTTTTCAGCCCACGGCCGCCAATCCCACTCTCCCTCCTGCTGACAGAAGAGGAAGCGGCCCTCTACATTCAATCCTTCTGGAGAGCCTATTTGGTAAGAATCATATGCAACTGTGGTATTTGATTTAACAGGGAACTTTTGTGAGGAGGAGGGTCCAGGGGAAACCTTAGGTGAGTTAGGAACGGGATGTTGTGGCTAACATCCAGACCTCAGAAATAGGATTCTCTGTAAAATGGGTCTTAAAGAGTGATTTAGAATTTTTACCGAAACTGGCTGGGCATAGTAGCTCATGGCTGTAATCCCAGAACTTTGGGGAGGCCAAGGTGGGAGGATCATTTGAGCCCAGGAATTCAAGACCATCCTGGGCAACATGACGAAACCTCATATCTGCCAAAAAAAAAAAAAAAAAAAAAAACAAAACTTAGCCCGTGTGGCACACATCTGTAGTCTAGCTGCTCTTGGGCAGCTGAGGTGGGAGGATGGCTTGAGGCCAGGAAGCAGAGGTTGCAGTAAGTGGAGATTGTGCCACTGCACTCCAGCCTGGGAGACAGAGAGATACCCTGTTTCCAAAAAAAAAAAAAACAAATAATTTTTACCAAAACTTATTTTGTAGTTATTAAAAGTACTCTTTTCACCTTTTAAAGTTGGGTTGACTGGCCTGTATTGATATATACAGAGAAAACTACATTGTCATTTTAGAAAAAAAATTAGAAAATTCAGGTAAGTCGGATAAAAGAAATAAAAATTTTTGAGTCACTGATAGCTCCATCACCAAAAGATAATTATTGTTAACATTTTGATATAAAACTTCAAACTTTAAAAATCTGAATTCACATAGTGACATATAAATACTTAACATAGAAAATAGCCTTTGCGCTGGGCGCGGTGGCTCAAGCCTGTAATCCCAGCACTTTGGGAGGCCGAGACGGGCGGATCACAAGGTCAGGAGATCGAGACTATACTGGCTAACACGGTGAAACCCCGTCTCTACTGAGAAATACAAAAAACTAGCCGGGCGAGGTGGTGGGCGCCTGTAGTCCCAGCTACTCCGGAGGCTGAGGCAGGAGAATGGCGTTAACCTGGGAGGCGGAGCTTGCAGTGAGCTGAGATCTGGCCACTGCACTCCAGCCCGGGCGACAGAGCCAGACTCCGCCTTAAAAAAAAAAAAAAGAAAGAAAAAAAGAAAATAGCCTTTGCCTTTATAACTTGTCTTTTTTAACCATTTTTCTATTTGAGACTTTGAGGTTATTTACAATATTTTTTATTATTGTAATAAATGCTACAATAGACACCTTCGTTCAGTCATTTTTGCACATTCATCTGGTCATTTATATAGGAGAACCTTAGAAGTGGAATTTCTAGATGAAAAGGTAAGCTTTTTTTAAAGCTCCTGATCCCGGCTGGGCAAGATGACTCATGCCTGTAATCTCAACACTTTGGAGGGACAAGGAAGGAGGATCTCTTGAGGCAGGAGTTAGAGACCAGCCTGGGCAACATAGTGAGACCCTGTCTCTGCAAAAAAATACAAAAATGAGCCAGGTGCAGTAGTGGGCATCTGTAATCCCAGCTACTTGGGAGGCTGAGCAGGAGGATCACTTGAGCCAAAGGGGTCAAGGCTGCAGTGAGAGAGGATTGTGCCACTGTACCCCAACCTGGGTGACAAAGCAAGACCCTGTCTCAAAAAAAAAAAAAAAAAAAAAAAAAACTCCTGATAATATTGTCATGTGGCCCTTCAGGAAGGATATAGTGTAAGAAGTTCTCACCAAATACATATGAGAGTAGCATGTGTATCTCATTCCAAAAAGCATACAGCCTCTCCAATTATTTGGCAATTAGTGTATCAATGTTAACAAGCTTCCATAAAGCTCCCATTCTAGGTAGCAAGATGACTTTCCCCAAATCTGAGCATCATATATCGTGGAATGAGCTTACATTTAACATCAGCAGTGGCAAATACCGCCAGAGGGAAAGGTCCCAGTGGATTTCCATAGAGGCCAAATCTCTTCATACTCCATACACAGCTAGTGTAGGAAAAAGAGACTCTGATAAACACATCAGCAAACAGCTATCAATTAAGAAGTTGGATTAATCCTAACAAGCTACAATCAATCAACAAATATTTGCTACATGCCCATTAGTGGAACTATCCCTGAACACAAGAGCTTACTGTGTGAGTCAATATTGTCCAGTTATTCCACTCCTTTTGTGCATGGTACATTCCAGAAACCATGGGCTAAAGGGAAGTGTGAAAGTTAAATAACGTATTTGCACATTAAAGGGGCAGTCTATGCCCAAAGAGTTAAAAAAAAAAAAATACCCTGTTACAGAAACCCCTATTATTCCCTGTGATTTAGACATAGTTTTTTATAATGTAGGTTTTCAGTATTTCATACATATTTTATAAATGTGGTCTTTTTTCTTCATTGAACACCAGAAGGTTAGCTTACATCCAAGTCTGTCTAACCAAGGCAAAATATTCCTGCTGTTCAGATACTACTGGAATTCCATCTTTGATTTGTGAGACTTATACTTGTTACACTAGAATCAGCAATTTTACTTTTCTACTTTTATGAAATGTTAAGAGCAGACTGTGAGTGGTGGCTCACACCTGTAATCCCAGCATTTTGGGAGGCCAAGGCAGGCGGATCACTTGAGGTCAGGAGTTTGAAACCAGCCTGGCCAACATGGTGAAACCCTGTCTCTACTAAAAATACAAAAACTAGCTGGGCATGGTGGCGCATGCCAGTAATCCCAGCTACTTGGGAGGCTGAAGCATGAGAATAGCTTCAACCTAGGAGGTGGAGGTTGCAGTCAGCCAAGATTGTGCCACTGCATTCCAGCCTTGGTGACAGAGTGAGACTCTGTCTCAATAAAGAAAAGGTAAGAGCTAAGTGCAATAAAATAGTCATTTTCAAGCCTGTCCTTGAAACAGGTGTGTGCTGTTTATTTCAAATGAACTCATACCCAGAAGCCCAGTATGTAACCAGTAATAACAGGGGGGGATACGGTTATTAATAAAAGGGGAACTGTTCATCCCTGATTCTTCCATGGTAAGATTCCAGCCACCCTCATCCTCCCACATACAAGGAGCTTTGGGATTCATTCTTAGTGATATGAACACAGTATGAAAAGCAGTCTGTAATTCCACTTATCATACCAACAAAGCAGCTGAATTCCACTTATCATACCAACAAATGCTGCCATATAAAACGATGTCAAAGTGGCTCAAAATTTAACTGTGGCTGTAGCACCATCATCACATAATAGCTACAAATGTGTTTATAGCTAAAAAGATGTTTGGGGGCTATCAATGTATACTGTATGAAAGTTCAGGCTGTTCAAATCTAAACACCTCCCCTGTTAAAATCATAACCAAAGGGGGCTACAAAAGGGGGAACAATTTTGAGCCATCACTAGAAGGAAAAGATGTCTCATCTATGGATGACCTTAGAAGGCACCACAGAAAAGAGGGACTTCCTCATTCTTAAAGAGGAAGTGGGCACTGGTATGTCAGCTGGGACCAAGAGGGCATTCCAGGGAGAGGAAACAGCATACATCCATTGTTAAAAGAAAAACTTTAGACAAATTTAGCAGAAGTTATTTGAACAAAGAACAATTCATGAATTGGGCAGCACTCAGACGCAGGAGAGAGGTTCAGAGAGCTCTACCCAGCAACCTAGGCAGGCCTTATTTATAGACAGAAAGTGGAAATGACATCCAGAAACAGCTTGATTGGTTACAGCTTGGCATTGCCTTATATGGACATGGTCTCATCAGTTGGCAGCCTGCAATTGACTGAAGCTTGTCTGCTGTGATTGAGACTCAGCTACTTGTTACAAGAATGTACTCATAGATTGTAGTTCATGATCCATGGAGGCAGGTTTAGGCCGAATTTAATTTGACACTATTATGCCATTTTTTGTTAAAGCATATTGTATATTTTGAACACATGCACACACACGGATCGGAAATTAGCTAAAAGGAAACAGCAATCTGACAACAGCGAGTACCTTGGGGTGGTTGGGAAAGAACTAGGAAGACTCTATCTAGCCTTATGTATACTGAACACTTTTTTGTTTGTTTGTTTTTGTTATTTTTTTTTTTTTTTTTTTGAGACGGAGTTTTGCTCTTGTCACCCAGGCTGGAGTGCAGTGGCGTGATCTCAGCTCACTGCAACCTCCACCTCCCGGGTTCAAGCGATTGTCCTGCCTCAGCCTACCGAGTAGGTGGGATTGCAGGCGCATGCCACCACATTCAGCTAATTTTTGTATTTTTAGTAGAAACAGGGGGTTTCACCATGTTGGCCAAGCTGGTCTCAAACTCCTGACCTCAGGTGATCCACCCGCCTCGGCCTCCCGAAGTGCTGGGATTACAGGCATGAGCCACTGCACCCAGCGACACTGAACACATTTTTTTATAAAGAGAATGTAGTATGATTTTCTTTAATTAAAAATGAACTTAAACCAGAGATCATCTCAATGGATATAGAAAACGCATTTGATAAAAATGTTTTCATGACAAAAACACTTAACAAACTGGGAATAGAAGGGGATTTCCTCAACCTGGTAAAGTTATGAAAACCACAAAGCTAACATCACATTTAATGGTGAAAGACTGGATATTTTCCCCCAAGATTAGGAACAAGAGGAAAATGTCCTCTCTTGCCACTTCAATTTAACATAGTACTGGTGGTTCTAGCCAGGAAAATTAGGCAAGAAAAATAAATAAAAGCATTTGGATTGGAAACAAAAAAGTAAATATATTTCCAGTCATGGATGACAAGACCTTATATATAGAAAATTGTAAAGATTCACTAAAAACAACCTATTAGAACTAATAAACAAGGTTGCAGGATACAAGATCAGTATACAAAAAGCAACTGAATTTCTATACACTTAGCAATGAACAATCTGAAAATGAAATTAAGAAAATAATTCCATTTGCATTGGCATCTAAAAGAATAAAATATTAGGAATAAATTTAACAAAAGAAGTGCAAGGCTTGCATGCTGAAAACTATAAAACATCATTGAAAGATATTAAATAAAACCTAATCAAATGGAAAGACATCCTGTGTTCATTGACCAGAAGACT